CTCGGCCGAGACTGCCGACCTCATCATCACGTGCTTTGCCACGAGTGAGGTCCGAGCATCGAGCTCACAGAAGAGCTTATACTCGGCCTCCGTCGACATTCCCTCCAAGTATTGGAGTCCCCCTCCGGTGGTTAGGTCAAGACTTACCAAATTCTTGACCTGCACGTCCGAGGCCAAAAAGTTCGACCCCGCCACGACAGCGAGAATGGCGAAGGCCCCACACCCTGCCTGCTCCAACGATAATTGCTTCGGTCGCTTGGAGGAGGAGCTCGGACGTTCCAGCTCTATGTTCTGCTCGGCTGCACGCACCCGAGACGTACGCCCCTGTTTCTTGGGATCGGCCAGGAGAAGTACTTGTGTGGGCTTGTCTCGCTGTACCCTGAGGGCCGACCTGGCCAGCGGCGCTTTCCCACTCTCCTTCGCCTCCTTCGCCCTCTTGGCGAGCATCGCAGTTACGTCCAACTTGCCTCCGGCCATCAATCCTACAAAAAAGAAAATTTTAACATCAATTTAAAAACTGATTAAGTAACCGAATCCTAGCACACATACCTAGCAAGACCATCTCAAAATGAGACGTCTCAAAAATTTCCATTAGGTCTCGGACAGGAAGCTCCTTCGGCAGTTGATCTAACAAATCCACAATCTCCTTGTCCTCGGCAGGGAGTTTTGAGGCAGGGATCGCCTCAAAGCGCGTCGGACGCCTCGTCCAGTAGAAGGGGAACAGCGGGGAGTCTTCTCGGTCATAAAAGCAATCCCTCATCTCCGACCCCAACGAACCTTGAAAAATCCACTTTTAAATCCCTTGTACGAAGAGGTGAAGGCCCGTAGAAAGCCACGTTTCGGTACCCGAGCTAAAGAAACCCACTTCACCGGTTTGCTCGGGCGGCAAGTATAATAAGAAAGAAATGCGAGTGGCCGAGGCGTGAGGCCGAGACAAAGACACAAGTTTCGAAATGCTTGCATGGCCGCTCAAGCGTTAGGGTGCAACTGGGTCGGCGCCACATTTAGGGTTCGGAGAACCCCCATCTGAAAATCATCAAAGGGCAGCTCTATGCCGAGGCCCTCGAACCAACACATGTATGCGTAGAAGTAATCGTCTTCACCAGGTTCCGCCTCCAAGAACACAAAATCGGTGTCCGGTCCATCGTCTTCACACGCCTCGGCAAGCAGCGGAAACTCCTCGCCCCCACCCCCGAAGCACTTCTCAGAAGAGATGAATGTGTCCAACAGGCCCTGGTCGGATAACTTCGAAAAGTATACACCGACCTCTCCGTCCACCCACTCGTACCCCGGCATCTCCACGGTACCATAATCCACCTTCGGCTTAGCCCGGACATTCGGACCGGCCATAGCCTTGCCTCGATTATCCTTGACCATTTCCAACTCATCCCCATTGCCTTCGGCAAGGACGGTTACTACATGGGGTCTCGATTGCTCGACCTGCGCTAAGCCTCTGTCATCAACCTCAGTAGCACGAGCCAAAGCCACCGCCAGGGTCGCCGGCGGCGATATCTCTACCATTTCGTCCCCGCTGTCATCTTTCTTAGGGTGGTCGGATGGGAATACCACTTCACATTGCAAAGGGGGCAACCTCGAGACCTCACTCGAATCCGATCCTTCCCTATCCGATGAGGCGTCCGATGCCCCCGACGACGTCCAACTCCTAGCCGAAGAATAACCCCTATCCATTTATTATTATAAATTAACGTATACAACACTTACCTTGTTCGGTTGCTTCGGTTGAATCTGATTTCGAGAGAACTCGGGAAATTTACAGCGAGTAAATTCCCACGCAACCCTCCGCCTATTTATAGGCGAGGTAAACGGGGAAAATGAAAAGACATCTCCAAACCCTGACCATTCGATCAAAACCATCCAACGGTCCAGATTTAATAATCGTTGAGCCTGTAACCGCCATGGTCAACGTGGCAAGCTACGACCGCCTAGGTCTCGACATAATTGCCGGTCATTCGAGGTCTCGACCCAGCTTCGGATGTCAGAGCCCTCGGCTCACGCGTCATTCATACAAGGCCTCAGTCCACCTTCGCTTCACATGTCGCGTCTTAGCCATGCGGCACATACGGCCTGGGCGTGATTGCACGTGGTCTAGGCAATACCCTAGACACCGCCCACGGCACATACGGCCTCGGCATGATGTCACGTGGTCTAGGCAATACCCTAGACACCAGCCAAGGCCTCGGTGCAATTTCTAGTTACTCGAGGTCTCGGGGCAGCTTCTTACGCCCGAGCTCTCAGTCCGGGCATCACCCACGAGAGGCCTCGACTCACCTTCACTTCACAGATCACGCCTAAGCCATACCCCATCTAAAACCTCGGTCGATTTCACGAGGTCTAGGGCACACCCTGGACACCATCTATCAAGGACTAGACCCTACTCCGCCTTGGCACGGTATAATTTCCATTTACCCAAGGTCTCGGCGAAGCCTCTTACATCCGAACCCTCAGCCCAGGCATCATCCACGCTAGGCCTCGGCACGTCCTCGCCCGCTAGACCTCGGCACGCGTTCCCATTGAGATCTCGGCATGTTTTCATACGGTTAAGACGTCGTCCAGTGCAACGCTACGCATCTCATACCGTCTTCGTCTTTCCTAGCCTTGACGCTGCGGGGGTTGTATACCGTATGGTGGCCGACAAGGCCGAACGCCCGAACCCGCGAATAATCAGGCCGAACACCCGAGCCCGTCGATACTGAGGCCGATCACCCGAGCCCACCGACCACGTATAAACGAGGGAAACGTGTCGGTGTGGTCGGCCAATCTCAGCGCCTCTGCCAGGCTGATTACGAATAGTTTAATTAGTGTAATACATCATATTAGCCCCCTAATTTTCCGGGGCCCAATCCTTAATCACGGCCCAATACGAACACCTATAAATAGAGCCCCAACGAGGTATGTAACTAACTTTCAACTACCGCATTTATTACGCCGAGAACTAACTTGAGCGTCGGAGTGTCTTTGCAGGCACCCCCACCTCGCTTCGGACTACCTGGACAAGAACGAGCAGACCGAGACCCAAGACCCGACCCGCTACGAGGAAGATAATTGAAGTGTGTATCCTAGCACAGGAACACATCTAATTACTGCAGTGTTGAAATCCTTATTGATAAACCCTCTAGGTGAAATTATTAGGATTTTTTTTAGCTTTTAAAAACTGGCTTCTTAATGTCATTTTCTACTTAAATAAATGTCTAAAATCCATTTATACTACTTAACAAATAGGACCTTAACCATTAAGCACATAAATCAAGTCATACATGATTATTTCAACTCAATAATGTGCAAAAAATCACAAGTGCATGATATCATCAAGAAATAAATCATTCTTTCTACAAGGATTATGCGTTTGGCAATGTAATTCTTGTTATTTAAGTGAAATTAAAGCTAGATAATTAAATTTTAATTTGAGAATTGAGTTTTGAAAATTCAAATGTTGAAATTTGAATAAGAAAAAGAACAATCAATTAAAAAGATTGAAATTCAATTGATAAACACTCTAAAGATTGGAGTTCACGTACGATAAAAAAATTAATTTAATTATCCTTTTATTTTTATATGTTTCTATAGAAGGTGAATAAATTTAAGGTAGTCTTTGTTCTATCTCTAAATATGCAGAGATATGGAATTAAATTAACTCCTTACTCTCATAATGGCTATGTTTAATCGGATCATTTACACTCTATTAATTCATTTTACCCTCTTAGAATTAATTCTACTATCGTGAATCGAAACCCAAGTTCATTTTTATAGTTGTAGATTTATAGGCTATCCTCTTAGTACACTCCTAAATTCTTAAAATACAGTTAAATGTTGGCCAATTTATTCAATACAAACAAAATAATAGAAAGAAATCAAATAAGGATAAGAATCATATACACGGATAACAAAAATTAATTATTTAAAGATCATAGGGTTATACTCAGTCCTAAAAATAAGGACTACTCATAGACAACCATTGAAACCAAACACAAATTAGAAACTCGAGAAAAAAGACACAAATCAGAATTTAAGAGAGAGCTAATCCCCAATTCTCGTTCTTAGGTTCTTGTTGCCGAATAGTGTTTAAGAATAGTGTTTATACAATGGACTAGAAAGAGTTTAGTCCCAAATAACAATTAAAATGCAAGTAAATTAACAATTGTTTGCCTTTTCAAGTTCACAACCGTGAGATTAAAGTTCACGACCGTGAGCTTCTTTCACTGAAAACAAATGATGGAATCTGATTGAGTACACCACCGTCAATTTGAGTTCCCAATTGTGAGCTTCTCTTCTTGAACACAAATGATGAAGTTTGTTCGAGTTTATGATCGTAAGATTGAGTTCACGACTGTAAGCTTCTCTTTTTGAACATGAATTATGGAGTCTATTAAAATTCACAATTGTGAGATTGAGTTCACAGTTGTGAACTGCTTTATACTTTCCAACTTCTACTTTTATTCCATCTATCAATCTCCCAAGTTTTGATTTCACCTCTAAATGATTTTTAATGTTTTCTTTATCAATACTTTGATTTCTTTCAAGTCCAAAATACCTAGCTAATCTTAAAACAAAAATTGCCAAAAGCATAATAAATTTACAAGAATGGAAAAAAAAAAACAATGAAAGTATACTAAGATTAAGACCTATATGCTAAAAATACACAATTAATTACAAGTAAAATATTATGCAAAAAGATGATATGAATTGTAACACATCACTTAAGAAAAAATATCAAATCTAAACCTTAAGTATTCAATTGTATTAAATACTTAGAGTGAGATGTTTATCACTCAGAAATTTTACATAGTTTAAACAAAAAATATTTTCTGTAAAAAATACTCATAATTTAAAATAAGAAAGGGATCTTAAATTACAAATAGTGTTGAAGTTATAAATAGAAACTTAAATTGAGAATAATGTTGAAATTATTTTAACATTATTGCTTTTGATTAATGGTACATGTGCACATCTAAGAATTGAGAAAATAAGATGTCTTGAAACATCAAAACATACAACTGCCTATTATTCATTTACATAAACAGTAAACAGTGGTGCAATAGTTTGATCACAAAGAAAGTGATAAAAAACATTAAACTTTTTTTCCCAGGCCGAAACGGGTTGAGAAAAACAGATCTCTCACCCACAGGGGAGACCATGAGAGCAAGGCAAACAAACCAGTCATGTGACCAAAAACAATTTGCTTAGGTGGTTTAGGGTTTAAAACTTTTCTAACCACATGTCTAGCAAAAACTCTACCATCTGTAGCTTTGTCACCCTGAGAAGCTCTAGCTCTCTCCTCAATCACCTCTTTAAAGTCCTTATAAAGCTTCCACTCATAATTACTCAATTTCTCCATATTTGCCCTCCCCAAATTTGACCTCACAGAGCCAGGTAAAACAAGAACCACGTTGATCCCAAATGGCCTAAGTTCTAGGCGCAAACTGTTTGACATGGCATGCACTGAAGCCTTACTAGCACAATAAGACCCTGCCCAAGGGGTTGGCACTTTTCCTACCACACTGCCAACATTTACTATGCTCCCACTTCTTCTCATAGCCATGTGTGGCACCACATGCTGCACCATTCTTAGTTGTCCCAGTGTGTTGATTTCCCAAGCCTTCCTAATTGTATCAAGTGGCAACTCAGCCAATGGCCCTGTACTGCCTATTCCAGCATTGTTAATCAAAATATCTATGCGACCGTATTTTGAAATAACAGTGGCCACAGCTGAAGACACACTTTGATCACAAGACACATCAAGCTCAAGTGTCTCTATGTTGTTATCTGACTCCAAGTCTGACATGTCTTGCATCCTAGCTGGTATGTCAGAGGCAAACACGCGGCAGTTTTTCTCAGCAAATGCCTTGCAGTATTCGTAGCCAATGCCACCTTTGGCACAGCCAGTCACTAGAACGATTTTTCTGTCACTCATTTTTGTTGTACTAGTTGAATATTTTGGTTCTCACATCTTCTCATATATATATATATATATATATATGGATGGAATCAGATATAATAATAATGATACAGAATTGATACTAATCAAACTATCCTGTTTTTTTTTGTTTTTTTAGTCACATCGTCGTAGGATAAGGAATATTCTTTGCAACATATCCTTCTTGCATCTTGAATTGGCCGCCCTGCCGGCTATGTATTGGACTTGTTTTCTTTATGTCTGCAATGTTATGGGTATGCATCCTGTCACTTTCTGATGCACATTTCGCCACAAGCATGGTTCCATATGCACGAGACATTTTCAGCTTTAAATGAGAGCCACTGTGATGATTTTAACAATGCGAGAAGCTCCAATATTATAAATTTGATTCTGCTTGTCTAACAAAATAAAAGCATCTCAACATATTTTATTTATTGTCTCTCTTTTACCGTGATTTTTATTACTTTTCTAAACTAATTAATGCTTAAAGGTTCTTAATGTTGGGATACAAACAAGTCTTATATCGATAAAATAAGAGAAAAAAATAATACTTTATAAAACATACTCATATTTTAATGATAGAAAGACCTTTTGGGTGATGACCAAAAATAAAATCGTGAGGGTTCAGCCTCAAAGCGGATAATATCTCATCCACAAGTATGCTTCTGTAATAATCTTATAAAAATAATTCTTATAAAATAATCTCAACACTTAATGACTAGGAAGAGAATACACTTTACTTTAAATAGGGTTTTAAATAGAGATTTACGGTTTAACCTTTTTAAAATTTGACTTGATTTGACATGTTTAATAAAAAAGTCAATTTAAACTTTTAAAAAAGTCTATTTATATAAAAAAAAGACTATATTTAAACTTATAAAAAAAATCTAATAGGTCAGCTTATTTATTTATATAATATAATAAATAAATTAATATATGTTATTAAAAATATAAATAAACAAATAAATTTATAAAATAAAAATAAATTATCAATATTTAAAATATTTTTTATATAATTATTTTTTTTCATTATAGGTTTATAAGGTTACAACTTGTGTGTGAGTTTACATCAACATACATGACTATGCATGAATTATTCCTTCAATAGAAAATGATTCAATTTTTCTTCTATATTTCTTTTAAAATTTAAACCTTAATAATATTGAATAAATTATATTTTAAAAATAATTTTTTATTTTTAAAAATTAAGTTTATTGGCCTAATTAACATTAATAATTTAAATAGACTTTTAAATAAACTAATACGTCATATCAGACTTTAAAAAGGTTAAGCAAGACTTATTAAAAAAAAGCATATGATAGATATAATAGGTCAAACTTAGACTTTAATTTTATAAAATAGGTTCAATCTATATATTTAAAGTCTAGCCTGACCTGTCTTATTTCCATCCCTATTAATGAGCCTTTAGAGAAATTTATATAGGAATTATTAAGTTAAATTTGTAAAGTAAAGTGAAAATCTATACCATATATATAGAGAGAGGGGATATCTTCCTTTGGTTTCCATATTTTTTTTTAGACATTTATACTCTATGATTGAGTAAACATTTAATATGATCTCTAAAAGATGATAGAGGTAACTAATAGATTTTTGAAAGATTTTTTTTATGTTATCTAAGTCCTTAAATTTTAACTTTATTATACAAGTTAATCATTCTAATACACAGTTAATTGTCACGTTCACACATATTTTCTCTCTTAGTTGACATACAATAGTTTCAAACTAAGTAGATTTAAACATGTGACAAACTAAGATTTAATTGTTAATTTAATTTAAAAATAATTGAAGTGATATTTGAAATACTTATTTCTTTCTACCCACTTCCATTATCACTAAGCTCTTCCTCACTTCTACTAGAAGAGTTTTGTGATTCATTAAACATAGTAGAAACACCCTTATTAGATTGATGCATCCTTGCATAAAATCTTTCAAAACAACTACTCATTTTGATAAATCCCAATTCAATAGTTTGTGGTTTATAACATTAAACTTATAGTTAGAACAGACAAAGAAATTAAGAATGACTAAGAAAAATCCAACAACTAAAAGTCCTATAAAATCCAACAACAACTTTCCATTTTAATCTAAGCATCCATGGACAGAATATTTAAACATGACAAAGTGTCGGTTGCTTATTGGAAAGTACTAAATCTTGTGTTATGACCCATATTAGGTGATTATGAGAGTGAACAACTAACTGGAAGAGAGAAAAAATGTCAATCTGACACTTAACTGCCAATTGTTCATGAAATTAATAGAATAAATGAGTATAACAGAAAGACTAACTTTCATATCGTAGATAAAATTTAGGGACCAAAATGTTACAAAAAAAATCTTTCAAGGACCTATTGTTTACTTTTAGCATTATTCAGGGACCAAATTGGGTTTTACTTCTCGTTTATCATATATTATTTTTTCTCACCACCATATCGCTTAAGGATAAAATAGAAGAAAAAAAATATATAAAAAAATAATTAACCACTCTATCAATAATAATTACCTTTATAACCACTTTTGGATTCGAATTTTATTTAAAATTATTTTACTCTTTTTTAATTATATATTATCTAACTTAATTTACATTTTGTAACAAAATATATAAAACCAAGAAATGTCTCAAATACATGTAATAATAATTGTAATATACTAATAGGGATAGGGCTCTGCCATAACTTAATGCCTCTCTAATAATAATTAGATCTACTACTAATACATCAATTTCTTTCTATTATTTGAAAAGTTGTGCTACAATTATAAATAAAAATATGACATACCTTAAATAGAAACCTATTACTTAGTTTATTTAAAGTTTGACTTAACTTATTTGATAAAAAGATCAAGTTTAGATTTTTTTTTAAAAAAATTATTTATTTAAAAAGATTAAGTTTAAACTTATAATAAAAAACATGTTAAGTCCGATAAGTCCACCTATTTATCTATATGATATAATAAAAAATTATTTATTTACATATATATATATATATTACATTATTAATGATATAATTAAATAAATAAACTTGTAATACAAAAATCAAATTAATATTTTTGTCATTTTCATATGAAATCAAGAAATAAAAATAGAAATTTTTGTAGCCATATTTTTGTCTATTATTTTCCTTCATCTTCATGGTTGATTATTTAGAATATTCCAAATGATATATAAGAAATATTTAGAAAGTTTTTTTGTATAAAAAAATCAAATTATCTATATTTCAATCATTTTCTTTCATTACACTAGTACGTGAGTATACATTAGTATACATAGATGTGTATGAGTTGTCCCTCTTACATTAATTTTTTTATTTTTTATTTTAAACTCTAATTTTTAATAATAATGGAGTAAAATATTTTTTTATCATGTAAATTAAAAAAAAAACTCACGTATTCAAAAGTAGATTTTTTTACTTATTTAAAATTAAATTTATTAACTTATTTAATATTATTAATGTAAAATAAATTAATAGTGCAGACCAAACTTTTTAAAAAAAAATAGGTCTAATTTATATATAAAAAAATTATGATAATAAATCATACTTAAACTTTAATTTTACAGAGAATAAATTTAACATGTATATTTAAAATCTAGTTTAACTTACATATTCTCATCCAAGTTACAATCTAGTAGTGGTATATACATGTGTTTTTCAAACGGTGTCATTACTTATTAGCATTACTTAATTTGTCAAAAAAAATATTTCCAGTAATTAAATTAATTGGTACACAACTACCTTAACCTAAATCTAGTGTTGGTTAGTTTACAACTTACATGTGTAAAAAACTGGCAATTAATAATGTGAACAGAGGAAAACTGCATTTTGGAATCACAGCCTTTCTCAAGTTTGTATTTTGTAGATAAAGCAAAGCAATTGGGTGAGATTGAAAAATATGGTATCCGGTGGGAACATGGAATCTAAAGAAATGGAAGTAAATAAAATTGCTTTGCCTAAAGAAGCATAAGGAGTCAACAGAAAAAGTGAAATTGGATAGCAACTTATCTGGTTGGCACCACAGGCCCCTGCCAATGCTATAGTGTATGCATGAGAAGAAAAGGTCCTTGTGCACTTTCTCTTTCAGAGGGCAAGTATTTAAGTAAGCCCTTTCATTGAACCCAATGACATGCATTTTTCTCTGCATCTCTTAGCCCTATTCCTATTCTCCTCCCCTTTACCCTACGCCCAGTCCATTTCCTCTCTCTTTCTTCTCTCGGCATTAATGTTGCATGTCGTACTATTGGATGAGAATCTCTTTTATGACTACTTTGCTGACCGCAACATTCAACATTTCCTTTTCCCTTTTACCCTCAAAATATTCAAGGAAATTGTACCTTCTATAACTTGCGGTATAAACCCATCCACCACCCTTTTATCCTAGTTTTTACATAGACAAGGCCATACCTAGTCTACATTACTCCTAGCCCTGCAGAGGACATGTAATACATTTTCTTAGACACATTTATATATCAATTATTTTGTAATTTGTAATATAATATCGATTATTTTTAATCTTTATTTTATTGCATCTTATTATTTTTCATATTTACACTTTTCTCTCTTTCTCTTTGTAAGTACTGAATAAAGTTTGATGCCTTCTGAGCTTTTAGGTACACATGATACTCGAGGATAATATATTGGAAAAAATTCAATATATACTTCAATTTGGCCTGAATAGGAAGAGAGATACAATAAAAATGAAGAGAAAAATGAAACAAATATACATAAAAATTAAAGTAAAATGAAAGAATACAGGCATAAGAATATACACGAAAAACATATTTCATGACAAAGTATTTTTATGTGAGTGAGAGGAATAATATTAACTATTAGATATTCCCAAACTAAACTATTCACGATCCTAGGACTTTTGTCTGAAAGAGACTAAAGAAGTGCTTAACAGGGGAACTCTTTTGAAATTCGGTGGGATGGTAGCTACGGAATTCTTTCAAATTAAAAACAGAAAAAAGCCAAAGCTTTCGTCCTGGTTTGGACTCACTCACAGGTGCCTATCACATTCACATATCAGCTACAACAGTCAACAGGAAGACACTGCATAGTGCATAGTGGATACATTCTTTTATTTCTTATGTACTTTTACTTTGAACTCTCACAGCCCCACAATACATGTAGTCATTTCTGGCTTATCACTGATTGGACCTAAACAATGTTACATGTCTCAAAAAAGAATGATCACCCCAATCCAACCAGGTTAGACCCCGTCAATGTACTCTCTCCTCATTTTATCCTAAGATGCTGTATTTAGAGATAAGGATTCTCTTCCTATAAATTATTTAATTTACAGATTTAGAATGTAAAATAAAGAATTTCAGCTATTGATGAGAAAATTAATTATCAATTCCATATGTATATATATGTACAATAAATTATGTATATTAAAATATTAATTACTAATCTTTTCATCGAATACTGATATTTATTTTATAGTTGCTTACTCTGCTGGAGGCAAATCTCAGAGGATTAAGCCTTCTTCAAATTGTAACAATGGTTGGAAAATCAAAGTCTACTTATTCAGGCGAAGACTAGTAGATTACAAAACATAATGTGAACAGTAATACTATTAATATTGTGATACCACAAAAAAGAAAAAAAGAAAATTGGAACTAGGTGTTAAAAATATTTATATAGACAACTATTCATTGGTCTACTGTTCGCCGTCCACATTCATATTCTAATTCTTCTAATAAAATGTTGGATTTCAGCATAAAATAAGTTGGTATAAACATTATCCATGCTGCAAGACCAAAAGGTTCTATGCTGAAGATTCAATAAAAAATTAATCATATGCTTTAACCTAAGCTAAGGTGATCGATCCGGAGCAAGGGTGCATGCCTGTAGCCAAACCCAAGTCACCCTCTAGAAAGCATTAAATGCAAAGGGATTGAAGGAGTCATATCAACAGTAAGTTTTTACTCACTATTTCTCTCAATTAACTGGAACTAAAAAGTGAAAATACTGGACCTCGACGGTAGATCATGTTTGATTTTTAAATAGATTTCACAATATATTACGAGGGGGCATAGGAACAGAACTTGTACGTGACGGCCCAAAAATAAAGAGCCCAGTTTGAGGAAAAGTACATGATGTAGGGCCAAGAACCACCACGACAAAGGCCTACATTTACCTAAGAAAGGAGTTTGAGCCTTTGCAGATTCAGAAAGAGAATGTGTATACACACACAATGAGGCAGCGAGAAAAAAAGAAGGGGGATGGCATACGAGGAAAACAGTTACAATTATATTATTGTTACTGTTATTTTGAATCTGTAGGTAGGTATTAGGTAACACCCGTTATACACCTTATTACCTTCAGTTAATATCTTTTGGCATATAACGATTTGCATCATCATTATAAGCATTCATTACGAGTAAAACATGAACAGCTAACATATATTACAATCACCTTTTCTAAAATGAAGTTGTTACTATAGAATTGAATTCACAGTGTGAACTATATTCACAACATATTTATAAATTACACCATATTTGTATATGATTTTTAATCATACCCACGACTTAAAATATGTTGTCACCGATATGATTCACTGAAATTTAATCCACTAACACATCTTCTAAAATTGAACAGTCCTAATGCTGTGCAAATTTAAAATTTAATAGAGTACAGTATTAGGAAACGGGAACTTTGCAGCAGATATCAAAAACATCATCTAACGGGGCATGGTCACCTGTTCCTTCGTCTTTCCTTGCATACAGTAGCTGCTTTCCTCTGAACACAAACATCCCTCCCTGACAAAAATAAGAATGGATCAATATTTTAGGGAAAACATGTAATATTGTTTTCATCCTTTTTGCTACCAGATTAAGTACCAACCTGCTGCAACACGCCGCTTCTATCATCTGGAGTGGCTTCAATTGTGTAGTTCTTGACAGCTTTCTGCAGAGCATCAAATCTTGAAAACACCTTTGCCTGTGATATCAATTTTAAGGTTAAAAATGTATATTAATCAGCATGCATAATTGCAAATATCTTACATATACACACTTCAGAGAAGTTGGAGGCTAGGGCGCTAGGCTTACACTGGCTGGGTTGAAGAAAGTTCGGCCAAAACCATAGTATAGGTTCAAAACATTATATGCCTGAAAGAAGGTGAAACTAGTGAATATTAGACTAGAAGATATGTTCTAGTGGGTGAATGTTCAACTAGTTAACCAGTAACCACATGTTACCTTGCGGTCAGGATCAGCATAAAGGAAATCCATTGGAAATGGTAACTGAAAATACAAATACCAAGACCAAAAGAAAATATCAGTTCTGACATTAAGAACATGTTCATATACCAATATTATACGAATAGGAAATTTTAATGAAAGTCTTTGAATTTCTAATATACGGAGATCCAAATTTTATGGCTGATCAAGATAAAAATGACCATTCATTGCTATACTCGAGCTAGTTTGCAACATAAATGATGAACCTTCAATGAAATGGATTAAATTTGAATCACAAACCGCTCAGCCTAAATATACTCGATGGATGGGGTTTAGGTAGAACACTAAAGTACAAGTGTGCATATTTGCATTTAAGAAAAGGACGCGTATCCAAGTCCATACGTGTATGGTAACAACTTTAGTGTGTCCATACTTGATATGTATACATAGTCATATTATAAATCCATTACCTCCATTTTAGTTATATGGAATATACTACCTTCTTAGTGTACGTGTTTTTTGCGAACTGGGGTAAAACAATAATATTATTTTAATATTAAAATTAACTATGAAAAATCAATTAAACAAGAACATTAATATAAAAATGCAACATCTAACTCCACTAAAAAAATATTGAAATATATTTCAAATCTTAATGATAGAATATAAGAAATGTATAATTTTTTACGGGATGTGTGGATATAGGGCAATTCACTACTATAATATCCTAACCCAAACTCTTAGAATGTGGGTTATGAGTCTAATGACTTGTAATATGAGGATTGTCCGATTTGAATCATAAATATGATGAGGTTTTTGCAACACACCACTTGGCAAGCGGACCAAGTTTCGATGTAGTAATTAAGTATCATCCTCAGGGATTTGAGAGTTTAGTAATTCTTACTCCAATGATTAATAAAGAGATGTCGATATGATTGGAAGTGAGTTAATGTGAAGCAAAATTAACATGGTAAGGTAAAAGTTATAAGAACAATTATATAAAACAAGGATTGGACCCTGGGGCACTTGCTAACTCTTAAATTTCCTTAAAATAAATATGATTTCATCTTGATAACTTCCACGTTCATTTAGTAATTCAACAAGATCCCTCAAAATTGAATCCTAAAGTAATTAATCTAAAACATGATTCCTCTATGTTTTATGATTAACACTTTGCATTAAGAACAATGACTTGAACAAGGTGACTAAACAAATCAAGTCTATTCCTAGAGCAAGAGATGTTTAGGTGCAAGATTCAGTTCGGGTTTTCAAAAACGTTTTCCAACCGGATTCAAAAACCAAAAATCATACAACGGGTGAT